GCAGCAAACACTGACTACTAATTTAGTTACTATTGCAGGTATTAAACCTGCCATGAGACATTTCCTAGGTGAAAAATGTTSCATGTTTTCAAAGTGTGAGCTTCAAAGCTATATATTTGTGAGAAATACAAGAAAGAAACTGGTGTTGGAAATGATTCATTTTTATTGGAATATTAAGAGGAACCGAATAAAATATACCCGTGCACTATGCTCAACAAAGTACATCTATGAAGCTATTGAATAACTGAAAGTGATTTAGAATATATAATTACATATGGCATACCCAAGATTCTTTGCAGCCTCAAGACCYGTGTCCTGGTGATGGCAACATTTTTTTTAAATAGATGTATTATTAGGTAAGTTTATTAATTTATTACAGTTTAGAAAACAAAGGAATCTCCACAATTCTGTTGTAGCTATATTTAGTAACTAAAAGTTGTCATTATTTTAGTGTTTGTACTCTATTGTCTRCTACTTACAGATGTCTCTTCATAACACTTCCAAAAGTCTCTTTGTTGTTTGTTACAATCAGGAAACCATCTTTTTTGATAACACTTTATTAGTTCATTATGAGAATCTTCACAAACTTCAAGCGCTCTGAAAAGAAAACACTGTATATGTAAGCAATTTGAGGTAAAAATGGAGGTAAAGGTGAAATGGACATGGACAGATCAATAAGTACATACTCAGTGAAACTAAAAATCACTAGTTGCGAAGGTTTTCACATGTCAAATATTTTTAGTAAGTTAATACTAACAAAAAATGCAATCATATTATTGCTATTGTAATTTAATGTAATGGTTTTAATTAATACTCATACTCATCTATTGYCATTGCTCAACTGTAATTTTTTTTACTAACATCTAACCTGCCTCGACTACCGGTAGCCATCTTTGCTATATGCAGGTTATTGTGTGTTTTATCAAATATTACCGAAGTTATAGTGAATCTGAAATCATATATTAATTCCTCTATTCCTCTTTCAAAAGCTCATTTAAGTCTGTATGTTGCCCAATTTTAATGAAAAGTAAAAGAAGATTATTCAACAGCTTTATCTTCATGTAGGAAATTTTCAGAAAGAAATAAAAGCGCTCTATTGCTTGAAACTTGAATATTCTGGAACTTCTTTGCATGATAGCAAAYAACAAAATTGCAATCATATCAGTTACTTTGGCTCAATTCTTGTAAAAGGCATGATGCATCATTGTCACACATGACTTTTAACTAGGTTTCTGAGTCTCCACTTTCTTTTCAAAAATTGTGGGGGGGGAGAGGGGGGGTTCGTCCAAATCCCCCAAACCCCMCCAGCCTACGGGCCTGCTTCAGTAAAACAATTTGGTCAGAAAGCAATATTTTCCAAAGACAATCTTGGAATGATGATGATGATGACGATGAATACTATTATCAAGGTACTACAKTTTTGACTACTTAAACAAACTAATACTGCCCTTCTCTTGACAATTATCAATGAACAGTCCCTTAGTGGTATTTTCAGACAAGACAACATTTTTGAAAACTAGTGCATCTCTGTCTATCCTTGATTTCAGACCTGAGCAGCATATAAGATAAGCTTACATGTAAGTACTGTACAATTCAGAATTCAATCCAAAATCTTTTAAAATCGACCAAAACATATACATCAACAAAGTTTTTGGGACTACATGTATTCTTTCTAAGAGGTGCAATGTACAGGTAGCTTGTTTGAGTACTTACTGCACTTTGATGTAAGCCAGAATCATTTCCTTTTCTGTTTTGGGTTCTTTACCTATCTTGAATAGCTCATCAAGTGCATCCATGATTAATTTGTTTAGCAAATACTCCTTCTAAATATTAAAAAATAACCATTTTTCTAAAAATCATGAAAATAGTTGCGGTCTTTTGACTTCCGCTGGCCAACAACAGCGCAGGCTAGTAGATTGGGAAGCCTGTGGTGAAAGACGTTCAGCTGATAGTCTATTCCCCAGAATTGCCAAAATATGTCCAAGTCGTCTAATAATGAGGGGTTCAAGCAAAGGGTCAAGGAGTTTTTAGGGATCAAAAAAGCTCCAGCAAGCCATGCTATTCCTATTAGCATTCATGAAGGTCCCAGGTCGGACGAGTATACCTTCACCAATGAGCTCCTACAGGTAAGCTTGCATACAATGTAGCACTCAAGTCGATCTTCTTACATCTTTCCTAGAAAAAAAAGCAATTTAGGAAGTAATAAAAGTACAAAAGAAATAGCTCACCTTGAATTCAAGAATGTTTTGTTTCGTTGTTTTGTAAATATCAATGGTACCGGTACAATGTTAGCAGAGTCTTTAATAGTATTAAGCTACTCTTAAAGCATTTCTGCAGTTTTCATTATTTGCTTCCCTGTGAGTTGACCTCAGGGAACCTCCTTTTGGGATTTTTTATCTTTTACATTTATTTACAACTAAAACAAACGCATAAAGCATATCTAATCARGGGATGCAAGGAAGGACTGTGCCCCCATCCAATGTTATAATTGACAAAAAATGCTTGTCATCTTGGTTTGCCTTACATTAGGCTGCACATAGTAATAGGTCTATGTTAATCAATTGTATATCCATGTATATATGTAACTTTTTATAGGAAATTGGAAGTGAAAGCCAATATGTTAACAGAATTAGAATGCTGAAGGATCTTTGTGATTTTCTTGTGAATAGGAAACTGGAGGATGTGAGTAAGGCCCGTTTCAGACGTYGATCTTTTGCATGAAGTTCATTGACATTAGATTTTGTTCAGTTGAACAAACTTACTAATGTAAATATCAATCATTATAGGGTGCAAACGTCTTGAGAACTGCATGTAAGCAAATAGATTTGTTGCATCAAAAGGTCGATGTCTGAAACGGGACAAAAAATAACATACTACTAGTTGGGCTCCCTGTGATTCAATGCACTCTYATATCTAGATTCAATGTAAAATGCCAACCATCACTGAATTATGTATTAACTCAAGTACATTGTATGCTGTAGTACAATCTGTCTTTTGGTACAAATTATTAATTTGGAACCAGTACAAATTTTTTAAACCAGTTCAATTTGCTTTCATAAAAAATGTATAATAAACAGCATATYATGTGGTTACTGAAAGATATGAATTTTATTTTCTTATATTCAAATTCACTATGATCACATGTGAGAAATATTTTTTAACACTAAGATAAAATCTGTATCTCCATGTGACAATGTGTCATCTCYATGACAATATTACAATCCATTGCATATTATTATCATTTAAAGCATGCTGTTGAAGCAGCTTGGTTAGCGGTGGAGGATCTACTACAAGCTCATCAACCTCTTGATGCTAGGCACACAGCTTTACAATTTATGACTGTATTGATTTCAGGCCAGGTACAAGTGAATTTTTGCAT